CCCGGCGGGCGGTGGCGCTGCCCACGGACACGGCCATCACCGTCTCCTCCTACGCCTACACCAAGGTGACCGGTCCCTACAGCCGCTGGGTGTGACGGCCCGGCGGCCTCTTACCTCAACAGCCGGCGGCACCGCCGTGCCGCCCCCGTGGTGCTTTCTGCATGTAGGAGAAGAAGACGAACAGAAGAATATATATATAAATATATATACACACCTTAAAAAACAAAAAAAAAGAGAAAAAAATACCTTCCACTCGAGTGCAAAACCCTTGGGAAACGGAAAAAAAAAAAATCCTGCACTTTGCGAGTTTTAAAAAACAGCAAACTGAAAACTAGGGGGAAAAAAAGAAGAAAATTTTAAAAAACGGAACCACGCCGTTAAGGTTTTTTTTGGGTAATCGACTATTTATAATGACGCCGCGTTTTTTTAAACAGCGATCCTTGTACGTCGCGGGAGTGGAGAGAAGAGTTTATAACGTCCTTTCGCAACGGAGAGGTTTTTAATTCCATTTGCAAATGTGTATTTATTGGATTCTTCTTTTTCTGTGTTGTTTTTTGGGTTGTTTCGTTTTAATTTTTTAACCATTCACGACAGCGGCGGAGCCGGAAGGGAGCGGAGGGGAAATCCCGCTGCCGACGGCGAGCGATCCGCGTTCCGCCTCCCGCACGGATGCCGTTATCCCGCTCATCTCATCCCGCGACGGGATTCCCTATGGTGCTTTTTATTCCGGAGCCGGGGCGGCCGGAAGCTGCAGGAAACGGGTGTGAGCGGCGGCGGGGACTGCGGGAAAACGCTGTGGGAAGCGGATCCGAGCAGCGACGGAAATCATGGGAAATGCCGTGGGATACGAGTCCAAACAGTGTCCAAGACCGCGGGAAACGCTGCAGGGAACGTTGTGGGAAATGGCTCCGAGCGGTGGTGGAAACGCTGCGGGAAGCGGATCCGAGCGGCAGCGCAGACGGCAGGAAACGCCCAGGAAACGGCCCCGAGCGGCATCAGGGACCACGGGAAGCGCCGCGGATCCCGCCGCCCCGCGCCCCGAACGCCCTCTTCTCCGGCGCCGCTTTTTCCCGGTGCTTCCGGCGCGGCAAGAAGAGGAGCGGAGGCGGCTCCGGCATCCGTGAGGAGCCGGGAAAACCCCGATTCCCCCCGTGCAAACTGTGAAGCGGCGCCAGGCTCCGCACGGCGCTCCGCCTGGTGCTCCCGGCATCCCGGGAACTTCCCCTCTCTCCGAGCAGCTCCGGGAAGAGCCGACCCGCTCGGCGCTCCCGTTTCCCCGAGGTGCACGCGCCGTGCAAAACCCTGGCCCCCGCGGGGCTTCCCGGTGCCATTCCCGATCCTCACCCGTTCCTCCTGCAAAAACAGGAAGCAAAAGAAGAAAAAATAGGAAAAAAAAATGGTGCTTTTTAACGTTTTCCCCCCGCATTTTTCCCCATCCCACTGGATCTGCGAGCTCGCGGGGTGCCGGCGACCTCGGCCGTCGGTTTTTGCACTTTCCGGTGCCTTTCGGAACCTCCGCGAACCCCCCCGGACCTGCACCCCGGTCGGCTTTGGACCCCCCCACTGTAAATAGCGAAAAGATTTTGGGATTTTTTTTTTTTAATTTTTAATTATTTCTTCGGTTTTTACAAGCACTTTCACCTAGATTTAACGAGGAAAAGACAAAAAAAAAAGAAAAATAAGAAGAAAAACCCCGGCGGCTTCCACGCGGCCCGTCGCAAAGCGGATCCATCGCGGGAGAACTGTAAATACGGCGGAATGATTCGCGCGCTTTGTCCGTCCTTCGTCTTACTCATTTTTCCCCCCTTTTTATCTTTTTTTTTAATCTTTTTTATTCTGTTTTTCCCCCGCCGCTCGCTCTCTTTCCCGCGGGGCCTGGTGCCGCTTTCCCTTGGGATTTGCCCCGTTTTGG